AGCCCCACCCCAGTATTGCACCCCGGCTGTGGCCCTGCATCGGTGCAGCCCCAGTATTGCACCCCGGCATTGCTGTGGCCCTGGCACTGCACCCTGGCATCGGTGCAGCCCCAGTATTGCACCCCGGCATTGCTGTGGCCCTGGCACTGCACCCTGGCATCGGTGCAGCCCCAGTATTGCACCCCGGCATTGCTGTGGCCCTGGCACTGCACCCTGGCATCGGTGCAGCCCTGGCATTGCACCGGTGAAGCTCTGGTGTTGCACACAGGCACCGGTGCAGCCCTGGCGTTGCACCCTGGCATTGCACCCGGCCATGGGTGCAGCTGCCCCGCCACGTGCCCGTGGGAGCTGCTGCCCGTGGCGGGGTCCCCGCGCTGGCAGCAGAGCCCGGCAGGTACAGGCAGAAGCGCTCTTTCTACCTGGGGGTGGGTTGCTCCGCTCTCAGCAAGGGACGGCGGGGGCACAGCCTGCCTCGGGCTGTGGGTCACCCTCTGTCACTTCACACGTGCTGCCTCGCCCTGTGGGTCCCTTGGGAGAGGGGACAGCGGTGTCACCTGCACTCGGTGGGAGGAGAACAGAGCATCGTGCGGGACAGGCAGTGTGTGGGGACGGCAGGGACATGGGGTGTCACAGGCTCCGGCTAGGGTGGGGTGGCACAGAGCAGGGACCGGTGGTGACATCCCTGGTGGTGGCACTAACACAGCGCCAGCTCTGGCAAGGTGTCCTGCCACCGAGCCCCCACCGCAGCGTCCCCCATCACTCTGCCCTCCCGCAGGTCTGCTCCGTTTTGAGGTCCCCTCCCTCCACGTCCCCCCGGATGCCACCCTGCGCCGGGACCTGACGGAGGCACCGCAGAGACTCTTGGGGCCAGGCCCGGCCACCCGGCAGGAGGAGGAGGAGGAGGAATCGGAGAGCACAGCCCTATGACAGTGTCCCTGTCCCCAAGCTCATCCTTGCGGCACCCAGGGGCCAGCACTGGCTACCGGCACCGAGGGCCACCGGCACGCCAGTTTTGGGTGGCAAAGCGCCTGGTTTGGGGGCGGTCGCTGTTCTTTATTTCATTTTTTTTCGCCTTATCCAGACTTGGCCTTTTGACTGGGTGCCTGCGCCCCTCCAACCCCGCAGCACCCACGGTCCTGGGGCGACGCCACCACCTCCTCCGTGCCCCGAGGGCGGATGCCACTGGGTACCGGCCAGGTGACAACGAGCTCACCGGCGCTTTGCAGCGGGATTTCATTTCTTCGGCTTCTTCCCCCTCCGCTTGTTCGCCGGAGCAGGATGGGACCCGACCAGCAATAACCTGGGGACGCAGGAT